ATCGAACTGCACCTGCCACCGCGCAGCCTGCTCGAACGTGCCACGCTGGCCGACGCACTCGCCCGCCCCGGCTGGGCCACGCGCTTCCTGCGCGTGCACCGCAGCCACGCCGTCAATCCGGCGCACGTGCAGCGCATCGACCGGCTGGGCAGCGGCGAGGCGCTGCTGACACTGACCTGCGGCGACACGCTGCGCGTGTCGCGCGGTTATCGGGCGGTGGTGGACCTCATCAGCGCGTAGCGGCCGGCCGCAGACGCGGGCTGGTGGATTGCAGGCTGGCCATTGCGCTCGGGATGGGAATGACGACGAGCGCCTTGTTGCCGACCCAGAACAGCGTGTCGCCGAGCGGGCTGATGATGAATGAACCCGCCGGGTCGCACATGGACTCGTTGCCGCAACCGGCGCCCTGGCCGGACAAGGCGATCTCGCCGAGCTTGATGAACTCCGACGATCCCGGGTTGACCTGCGTCGTGTCGTAGACGTCGATGTGGTCCACGAGCAGCGAGTTGGGATTGGCGGTGATCATGCGATACGCACGTTTTCCGTCTGGTGACAGCAGCGCCGTGGTGCCGATGCCGTAGGTGGTGGGCAGCGATCCGATCAGCGTGAAATCTGCGGCCTTGTAGAGCGCCGTGCTGTCGACGAGCACGCGGCTGCCGTCCTCGTTGTAGACGGCTTGCTGGTAGACCAGCGGCACGTTGGGCGTTGTGACGACGGCGTCTGTCGCCAGCGAGTAGATGTAACCCGGCAGCGGCGGCGAGAGCGAGCCCTGGCCGACCAGCATCGTCGAGCCGTCACCGGAGGCGTAGAACGACGGCGAGTAGAAGTTCCCGAACATGGTGCCGGCCTGCAGCACGCCGAAACTGCTGCTGAGCATGTCGAAGTAGCGCAGGGAACTCCACTGGCTGCCGCTGAACCAGATGCGCAGGTTGGCCGTGACCGGCAGGCCGCGCGTGCGGCCCATGCCGGTGGACAGCGAGCTGTCCATCGACCACGCCGGTGCCGTGTGGGTGTTGCGGACCTGCATCGTGTCCGGGTCGACGGCCAGCAGCGTCGAAGTGCCGGAGCTGACGTAGATCGTGCGGCGGTCAGGCGACATGGCCATGTCGCCGATGTTTGCGACCGGCAGCCCGGCCACCTGCCACTGGCCGTTGGACAGCATGAAACGCACCAGCGTGTTCTGCGTCCAGTTGATGGCGAACACCGCGTTGCGCGTCGGGTCGAACAGAGAGGAGCGTTTTTCGCCCGTCGAGTTGGTGATCGATGCCGTCAGCGCCGCCGTGGCCGCCGAGCCGACCGTGGTCGACGATGTGAGCATGCCGGT